CACCTGCGGCGTGGGGTTGCCCACGATCTGGCAGCTTAGCGTGGCGTCCTTACCCACCGACACCACGAAGGCCTTAGGCCGGGTCAGGAATCGGGGCGCGCCGCTGAATGAGGAATGATCCATGGTGGAAGGAAGGGGTGGGGGGACCTGTGAGGCGGGTATGAATAGTGCTAATGAAGACCAGCCCCCGGCACACTCAGAGCCCGCCACCTTGTCCCACCGGGCCACCTCACCCATCAGTGCCACTCAGAGAACCCATGAACCCAGCTAGACACCTGCACGTGCCCCTCCCCCATCCAGGTCCCGTGCCCCGCCCCCACCCCAGACAACATCACCTGTAGGCACGTGGTTCAGAAGTTCGGATCTGCCCTTTTCTGAGCACTGGGGTCTGGCTCCACCCCCGCACGGGTTCTCCTAACGGACAAGCATCTCCAGCCTTCCCCCAGCTTCAGTCCCGCTGCCCAAATTCAGGTCCAGCTGAGCACCTGCCCCAAACACCAGGCCAGCAGCCAAGCTGCCCCTCCCTGCGAGGCATCAGGCCCCTGCGAGGCATCAGGCTTTAGCGCCAGCCTCTCCCTCCACCAGCCCCACAGCACCTGCTAAGCAGACTTGCTTGTGCTCCCCTGAGCCACTCCAACTGCCTTAGGTGTCCTGTCTCCTCTCACAGACTTCTGGCTCCCGGGGTCAGAATCTGCAATCTGCCTGCCTCTCCTCCACTCAGAGGGGGCGGTTCTTTGCTCCCATGGTGCAGGGTTTCCTCCAGCCTTCAGCCCAGTGTTCCCTTAATCTCCCCTTATTGCTTTTCTTCCCCCGAGTGGCTTCCCCCAAGCCTTTGGGCCCCAGCTGGGGCCGTGTGCATGTCAAGCCCCTTGCCCAGTGGCGCCCATGACAGGGAGCCTTATGCACAGATCTGTCCCACCTGCAGCAACTCTGGTCCACCTCTCCTGGGGTCCCCTACCCCTAAACCCCTGGGGGGTTGTGCCCATCAGTGAGCAGAGAAGAAATGAAAACTCTATAGCCAAGCAAGCTCTTCCTAACAAGACAGCACCCTCAGCCCAGCTGGCTGTCTGGCCCCCTTACTGTGAGTGCCTATCTCCTCCCTTTGGAGCAAGACTAACTGGGCAGCCCATTCAGCAGCGTGCCTGCAGAGGACAGCAGAGGATCCCCCAGGAAGAGCCAGGGACCTCTAGGCCAGCTGGCTAGCTGAACCCAACTTGGGGGGCCGCACCCAGCCCTTTCATTCCGCGGCTTCACTGCCTGGGCACCCTGCATAGACAAGGCTGGCACCAGGGGCGCTAAATGTCTTAGGTGACTCTGGCCTCCACCCACCCGGGGTAGCCCCCACTGGTCCCAGAACAGGTGGGTGAGGGGTTTCTGTGAGAACAGGGAGCACAGTGGGCCTCACTGGGCCCCGGGCTGGCACTAAGTGCTTTAACTCCCTCCATCCTAGGAGCTGGAAGTCCAATCTCCAGGCATGGGCTGCCCACCACCAGAGGATAGGGGGATGTTTCTGGGTCCTCTGCTGCTGGTCCTGTGACTCAGCACTTAATCCCCCTTAATCCCCCTCAAGGAGGCTGAGCCCAGAGCAGCCTGCTGACTCACTGTGCAGTCAGCACCTCTGTCCCCCACTCTACCAGCTGCCCCCACAAGGCCTGGCAGGGAGGGCCTGGGAAGACCTGGGAGGGCAGCCACCAATGACCCGCCTCCATGGGTGCCCCCCAGGGCTTTGGCATCCCTCTTTGGAAGGGTTATTTTGACACCAGGATTCCTGGGACCCTGAGCTCTGAGCTATTCCTAATAGCACCCCAAATCAGATAGTCATTGTGTGGGTTCCCCAAGGCAGGACATGGAACCTCCCACACACACCCCCACATACCCAGAGCAGGTGCCAGAGAAGCTGCTCCAGCTCATGAGTGTGGTGTTGGGGGGGGATGCAGGGGGCAACTCCACAGCCTGGACCTCTGGTGCCAGAAGGACAGAGAGGGAGCTCCCATCTCTGCTCATGCTTAGGGGGAGCCAACCCCAGCCTCAGCAGATGTACAGGCTGTCCCCTGGCCTGACATTGGTGGGCAGAGATCCTGAGATCCTATAAGGCCACTGGGGACTCTACTGATATCCTGTTCCCTGTCCAGAGCCTACACTCCCTATCCCTGATGCAGCAGACCCCATGGGATCTGAGGAGGCTCACCGAGACATGGCAGCCTCAGAGCCCCAAGGCAGCCCCGCCAGGCAGGCATCCCTACCCGTCAGCTGGGCCAGGCGCCCCGAGCACATGCCCAAGGACTCCGAAGCCTCTCTGGTTCGGAAGACCAAGGGAGGGCACCATACAAGGCAACCTCTGAGCGCAGGGACGTCTGCAGTGGCCTCCTCCTTCCCTTGCCACGTTGGCAGAGACAGACCTCAGGAGGGGGACCCAGCCAGAACCTGAGCCCCAGCATCACAGGAGGCCCCTCCTCTCCCAGATGCCTTATTGGGAGGTGGCTTCCTGTGGATCCCTCAGTGGCCCAGGGCTGAGACCGCCCCCCACCTGGGATTGTTCCCCACCCTCCTCGCCCTAGTCCGGCCACTTGCTTCTCCAGCACTTGGCCACTCTCGGGTGTGGGTTCAGGTGGCCCTGGACCATTTTCCAAATGAGCCAGGGTGGGAGGACCTGACAGCAGGTCCTCCTGGCACTCCCCACTCTGCTGCCCCCACACCCTCCAGAAAAGACTTCAAGGGCAGTTCCTGGATCTTCGGCCCCCAGACCCAAGGTCCTATTTCCCGGACACCACGGGGAAATTCTTTCCTGGAGTCAGGTGTCACTACTCCTCTGGCTGTCCCCACCACTGAGCCAACAGGCCCAAAATAGCCCCAGCTGTCAGCGGGCATCCATCTCAGCCAAGGTGGGGGCAGGGCTAGCCAGACCCCAGGCCTGTGGATCAGAATGGGCCACAAGGCCCCAGGCTCACAGCTTGGCTGCTCCCTCCCTGCATGAGAGCCCAGCTCAGGTCGCTGAGGGGCAGGGGCTGGAATCCAGGCCCCCAGCCAGGGAGCAGCACAGCCTAGCCAGAACCCTACCCAGGCCCCACAGTCGCCCAGAACCATGACCTTCAGCCAAACCACCCTGCGGGGGAGGGGGGGGGCAGGGAGTATGGGGGCCATGGGATGGCTCCTACCCCTGCCCACTCTGCCTTCTCACCTGTCTCAACAGGGGAATTCGGGGCAGCGCCCAGGCCAGGGGCTCAGACGGTGGAGCAAGAGCCACCAGGTCTCACCTTCTTCTAAGGGCCCAGGACCGGCAGGACTCCTGCCCGCAGCCTGCACTCTGGCCGGTCCTCAGACTGGACAGGGACAGAGGACAGGCAGGCGCTGTCAGCTGGAGAAGGCTGAGCCCGCCCCCACCCTGCCCCCACCACTGGCCAGGCAGCCCAGCCCAGCTTCAAAATAGCCTGGCTGTCACTGCCCCTATTGAGTTTCACCCCAGGCCCTAGGTAGGCAAAGCACAGAGGCTCGGGGTAGCTGGGGGAAGCGATGATGATGATGCGGGTGGGGCAGGGCCCCAGCTGGTTGGGACCCCTCCTCAGATCAGCATCTTGGAAAGCAGGCTGAGAAGAAGCCCAGGAGCGCAATGACCACCTCCAAGCCCAGGGGACCTGGGACCATCCAGGGGGAACAACTGCTTAAGCTGACACTGGCCACATTGGGTGACTGGTCTGTCCTCAGAACTGTGGTTTCCACACCAGTGCAGAGGGCACAGAGGGAGTGCGAGGATGGCAGGACCCGGGCTGGGTGCTGAGCTAGGACACACACCCTAGTGCTGGATCTGGGGCAGGGGTGAGATGGGGGTGCAGATCAGTACCACCCATGGTGGGGGCCAACCCATGGACACCCCTGCAGAAAGGGCCCTGGGTCAGGTGGAGTACAGTGGCTGTCTCAGAGTGCTGCCCTGGCTCTGCCCACAGATGAGTCTCTCACCTGGGCCCCTGGGGACAGGGGCTGGCCCCTTCCCAGGAGAGGCCCCGGGACTCCCACCAGGTGCCCCCCTCTAAATCCAGGGCAACCTGGCACCCTGACCACATTTGTCCCTGGGCTGGGGCGACAGAGACAGGGAGGGGGGAGCCCTCCTAAGGCCAACCACATCAACTGCCCCTGCCCCTGCCCCCACCCTGCCTGCCCAGCCCCAGGGCAGGCCCCCTGCACCCCACCTGACCCAAGGCCTCTCCTTGGTCCCCTGGGGAATGGCTCCAAGGGCTCGGTCATCTCAAGTCGCCATAACAAACCCGACAGACTGAGGGCTTAAACACCATTTATTGCTCACAGTTCCTGAGGCTGCAAGTCTGAAATGAAGGCCCTGGCAGATCAGTTCTGCTGAGGGCCCCTTCCTGGGACACAGCGATGCCTTCTCACTGTGTCCTCGCGTGGTAGAGAGAGAGCTCTGGCTCTTCCTCTTCTTAGAAGGACACTAATCCCATCCTGGGAGCCCACCCTCAGGACCTCATCTGACCTCTTCACCTCCTTCCACATTACATTGTGGAGCAGAGCTTTCACCATGGAAACCTGAGGGGACACATTCGGTCCACAGCACCCCAGGAGAAAGGAAAACCCGAGGAGGCCTCAGCCCCACAACATGGCCCTAGGGACCCACAGCTGGTGCACATGCGTGCACGCTCACGCTACATACCTCCTGGGACATGACCATGGAAGCAGTGGGGCCCAAAGGAGGTGCACAAACCTGCTCTTTACCCTCTTTTGAGAGAACTACAAGCCCAGTGCAGTGAGGTGTGCTCAGTTGGTGGAGCGCTGTCCCATGCAACAAAAGTCGCCGATTCATTCCTAGTCAGGGTGCCTACCCAGGTTATAGGTTCAACCCTGAGTCAGGGTGCATATGGGCAGCAATCAATTGATGTTTCTCTCTCTCTCTCTCTCTCCCTAACCTCCCTCCCTCCCACTCTCTAAAAATCAATGGAAAAAATACCCTCACTCCTCTGGTGAGAATTTAAAAAAAGAAAAAGCTGAGTGCAGTGGTGTGAAACACAACGGAGGTTTCAGGAGGCCAGCCCCTGCTGTGTTCTGAATGCGCCTCCACCCCACCTGCTGTCTATGGTTCTCCTTCTGTGTATACCCTCATAGCACGTCTGTTGAAGAGACCAGGAGGTGAGTCCTACAGTCTCCAGAGGCTGTTTTGCCACCATGCCCATGGCATCCTTCCTGCTGGGGAGGCTACAGGGATCCGATTCAGGGCACAATCCTTCATCCTCCTGACCTTTCCCTGGATCCTCCACAAAGAGATGTCACCTACCACCTGTCGGCCCGCCCCGGGGCCAGGGGCCTTGGGAAAACTCAGGGAATCATCACTTCAGATATCACTGTCCCAAGAGGCCCTGGCCACACCCTTCACCTCTGTCCTCCTCCCTGTCCTGTGTCCTCACAGCTCACTCCTCCTCTGTCCTCCCTGTCCTGTGTCCTCTATAGTTCACCCTCTTTTTCTCTTCTTTCTCTGGGTTACTTGTCTCAGGACAGGCTGTGTCTTCAGTCCCAGGATGGGAGGCCAGCATCCCTGGACCACTATGCCCTTAAGCTCTGCCCAGCTCTTTTACTTGGGACAAATCCCAGGTCACCAGCTGCAATCCATGGCCCTGCACATCTCTGGCAGTCACAGAAGGTCCACTCTCCTTGTTCCATTCCTGCAGCAGATCCTGCGCACCTGGCCAACATGGTGTCATCAATGATCCATGTACCAGCTGCAGGCATGGAAACTGTGACGTTCACCTCATGGGTCTTGGCAGTAAGAGTAGATTCCCATCACCCATCAGGTCCCTTGAGGCTTTAAATGGTGTGTCTGTCTGGGGAGACTCCAGCTTTGAGGGTCCCCGGTACCTTCCCTACCCACTCTGGCCCTTGGACCAACACTCCCATCATCAGGGATGCAAAAACAAGTGGGTGGCAGAGTGTCCCTCTGACATCACACACAGTCCTCATAAAGATACTGTTGCATATTCTGGGAAAAGAGCATTTAATTCCCTTGTAATGTTTTGAAAGGAGGATGTTTATGGTGTGTGACTCTGGTGAAGCCAGTGCATGTCCCGCTTGGAAAACAAACACGTAGGAATGCTTCCCAGGGTTTCAGGTCAGGGTCTCACTAGGTCCCCCAACCCAGGTTTTCTCCTTTCACAGCAGCGTGACCTGAGGTGCAGAGTGGCTGCAATGATTTGCTCAAGTTTACACATCGACAGGGCTCCACCGGGTTCCTCCTGAATGTAGGTGGCAAACAGACGGCGGCCAGGGCGATGGAGCGACCCGGCATTATCACAGCCTTCATGACGTCCTGGAACAAAAAGGGCACATTGGTGGCTAAACAAGTGAAATCTACATAAAGCCTGGAGCTTAGTTTTGACGAAATGTAAGGGTTAGAATTCTGGGAAGGCGCAAAAGCAAATAGTTTGAAGACAGCAACCAGATGAGCACCCAGCTCATTGGTGGACAAAGGGTTTTTAATCACACTATTGCTTTTGATGGAGAAACTTTGGAAAGAACCTAAATGCCCATCAATATTAAAGTGAAGAAATAACAGCATCACTGGGCAATGAGTGCTACACACCATTTAAAATGAACTGACTTGTATCTACAAGTTAACTCTAAAAACCATGTCAGTAAATAAAGTGATCAAATGAAAATGAAAAGACCCAAATGGTGTCCAGCTCTCCCACACCCTGTGCCCCTGCCCCCTTCCCTCTGCTGGGAGAGGCTAAACCCACAGCCAGAAGCTAGGGTGAGGGGAGGAGAGGCGGTGGGAGGGAGGGCTGGGAGAGAAGAAGAATGTGCCAGAAAGACCAGGAAGGAGGCGTGGCCTGCATGACAGCCTGGGTGAGGAGGCGGGGCTGCAGAAGGCCTGGTGTAACCTTCAGGGCCCCCTGCTCAGCAGTGAAGGCCACAGAAGCAGCTCCAGAACACACCCAGCATGGCAGGACTGGAAGGGGCCCTTAGGCAGGTGGTGAAGACCCAGGAGGAAGGGAAGGACCAAGGGATGCCCTGGGCTGATTGCTGCCTGCCAGGTACTCAGGCAGGAGAGGCTGCCAGCCTGGCCTGGCCTCACCAACCAGGCTCAGTGGGGGCACTGGGAAGGGGAGCTGGCTCTGGGCATGCTAGGCTGTACAGGCTTCGTGGGCCCCTCCTGGGTGCAGAGAGGGGGACCCATTGGGTTCCTGGGGTACAGAGAGAGCTGGCAGCTGGACAGACAAGGCCAGGGCCCAGGGCACACATATCCAGAGGAGGGGACATAAGAGGGGGTTACTAGCACCTCACTTGTCTCTCTGTCTGCATGATGGGCCATCTGCTTTTGGGTCTCAGTGTGTGTCCACGCTGGAGCGGGCATAGTCCTAGCCCACCTTGCTCCCCAAAAGACATGCATCTCCAGGCTGAGTCCTGGGTCCCCGCCAGGACTGCAGAAGCCGCAAGACAAGAGGCTGCCTTCTCCAGTCCATGGACCCCAACTCCCCAGGTGGGTCTTACCCTGATCTCACTGAAGGGTGGCTGCAAAGCCCAGGCAGAACTGATAAGTGCTACCGAAAGGAGGTTGCTGCAAAATTGTACCACATGCCAGAAATGGTAAGGCCCAAACTTGGTTCAAGACAATGCCACACAAGAGACTGCAGTTACTGGATTACGAAGCACTGATTTCTTCCCAACAGCCACAAAAGACTGTCTTGGTGATGGCTGTCCTCCCAAGATGTTAGGAAAAAGAACAGCAGAGAAAAAATGAAATAGAGCCATGCTGTGATGTCATTTCACGTGCACTGCTCAGAGCACTGGTGGAGAGCCCTCAGGTCATCAGGGAGTAGACACTGCCTAGGCCGGGGGCAGCCTACAGCCCACCCCAGCCCACGTGCCAAGGTGAGAGCCACAGAGGACTGAGAGAAACATCCAGAAAACTCCGGGTGAACTGCTAATTATAGTTATCATTAGAAGTGGGGGGTGTTTTACCTTGACATACTTGTATATTATTTGAATTTTGAACACCAAGCACATATTTCTTTGCAAGAAGTGTAAGACAAAAATGAGTTCCAAGAGAACCAAGTGGCTGAGGGAGCTACAAGGGGTGCAGGTCTCCCATCTGCCCCTGACTGACATCCCCCCAACAGTGACCTCAGGGTGGAGCAGAGTGGACAGTCCACCTGAGAGCCAGAGGCCACCCATCCTGGGGGGTGGGATACTACAAATCTAGAGAAAGGCTTCTGTGTCCCAGTGCGAAGCGAGGTTTCACATAAATATCGCCCTTCAAAGGAAACCTTTTTCAGTAATATTTCAGAAGCAAAATAAAATCTACTTGGAGTAAATGATGTTGACTCCTATCATAAGGATTGACAACAGATACCATACACATGGATACCACAGAAACTAAAGGAAATTGTTGCCCCTACATATTGGAAACAAGCTAATTGAGCTTTTAAAAATAGAGCCATATTCACAGTTATTAACACGTGTTAAGTTGCACCATAAAGCTGAGATTTCTGTCTCCTTTCTCCCATCTAGTTTGATCCTCTCTTTAGGTTATGCACATCACACTGCCTCCAAAGTTTGTTCAAGAATAAATCAAATTGGAGAAACCAAGATGGCGGCATAGGTAAACACCGGAAATTGCTGCCTCTCACAACCACTTCAAAAATACAACTAAAAGACAAAACGGACATCATCCAGAACCACAGGAAGGCTGGCTGAGAGGAAATTCTACAACTAGAAGGAAAGAGAAAAGCACACTGAGACTCAAAGGAGGTGCGGAAGTAAAGTGAAGATTACAGAGCCGCACGCGGAAAGGGCTGGCAACTGAGCACTCGGTTGTCTTTTTTAATCGGGAGGAAGACACAAGCTCCCGACTGCTCTGAACTCACGTTCCGGGTGAGTCTCTGGGGACCCAGACTCATACGGGGAGAAACTGGACTGT